TTAATAATTAATTTAGTGGTATTTAAATTTTATTTATAATTATTTATTACTATTTATGTAAGTTTTAAAATATCCGGCACTCTCTTCCTCTCTCATGTCTGTCCTCCCCGCACCATCGATCCTGTTTCCGGGCACTCTTCCTCACCGTCTCCCTCCTCCCCGTGTATTCTTCACCTCCGTCGTCCAGACCCTATCTCCGGCGACCTCTCTCCACCATCTCTGCATTCTCCGGGTCCCAAAACAGCCCCCATCTCAAAACGTGGGTTTTTCCTTGTAAAGATCGATACAAAACCAAACCATCATCTCCTTGATTTACGGTTTCCAGGTTCGGTCAACTCCTTTTTTGTCCGGCTATTTACATACACAGCGTTGCTTGATTCTCAATCGTTGAGGTTCGTGTTTGCTACCATTAAAAAAAAGATCTATAAAGAAGGAATGGGCTCAGATCGATCAGTCTACTTGGACTCTTACTTGTTTTTACTAGAATAAATATATGCAGGGAGACGAGTTGTCATTACGCGAAACGCACTGCAACACGTAGATCAGGAATTCTAATTACCGAGGAAACAAAGGGCACTCGCAACAGATCTTAGACTTTAGGCTCAATTACAAGATTGTATGAGAAAACATTGAACAATGGACTAACCACTCCTACAAACGTTCACCAGAATTTGCAGACCCCAAGAAAATTCAGTAAGTAGCCCATGATCAAGATTGATGAGAAGAACCCAATCGGAAAACCGATCCAAGTTCCCTCCCAAAAAATCCATGACAGTTTCTCATAATCTTCGGCCTCCTCTCTTCCTTCTGATGGTGGGATATCCTCTGGACATTTGATCATAATCTGCATTCCGCACAATCCGCTATTGTTGGCAAAATACTTCAATTCATTCATCGTGTCCATTTGCCGGCCTAGAGGTATCTTACCGGTCAACTTGTTGTTGCTCACATCCAGAATTGTCAGTTCACCCAACTTTGATAGTGATACAGGAATCGTACCTGAGATTTTGTTACGTGACAGATCCAAGCTCTCTATTCCCTTAAGATTGCCAAAAGACACCGGAATGTGCCCGGAGATGATGTTGTGTGAAATGTTGAGAGCTTTTAGACTTTTGAGATTGCCTAACGATGTCGGAATTTCACCAGAGATTCTATTGTTGGACAAGTCCAACAAAGAGTATATGTCAAGGCTACGACTCGATAAGCCTTGAAAATAGTTCTTCCAATTCACTATCAAGTCCTCAATGAAAAAGTCCATTTTGATGCCATACATTACAATATTTAATTCCAAAGACATGCTATTGAATGTTGGCTGTGGAATTTCGATCATTCTTGTGAGGTTCGATATTTCCTGTGGTATACTACCTGTTAGCTTGTTCTCAGAGAGATCAAGGATTCGAAGATTAGTGAAGTTGGAGATTGTTGTTGGGATAGATCCTTCAAAGGAATTGTTTCTTAGAACTAGAACTTCAAGATATGGGCTTTCAGGAAGAGCATCTCGGAAATATCCTGTAATTTCATTGTCATGAAGATCGAGGTGTCCAAGATTAACCAATCTAGTAAAATTCCAAGGGAGCTTGCCAGAAAACTTATTCCCACCCAAAGAAAGAACTCCGGTATTTATAGGAAAAGTGGTTGGGATGTTACCAGAGAACTCGTTGTATGACAAGTCTAAGTAATACAATCTAAGATTATTGCTAGAAACAGGGAGATTGTGGCCTGAAAATTTGTTTCCAGACAAGTCAAGAATGACGAGTTCGTGCATGTTGGACATGGATATTGGAATTTGTCCGGAAAAATTATTTCTTGACAACATGAGCACACTCATGAATGTGGCGTTGCCGATGTTGTCTGGCAACTTCCCAGAAAAATTGTTCTTGGACAAGTTAAGAATATATAAACTTGTAGATTCAAATAGGCGATGTGGGATAGATCCAGTGAGGTTGTTGTTGGATAGGAAGATGTGTACTACGTCCATTTCGGTGAGCCAATATGGGAATCTTCCCTCCAATTGATTCATGCTTAAATCAAGATAATACAAGACTTTTTGTGTTGAAATCCATTCAGGAATTTGGCCAGAAATTCCACAGGAAGGCATAGAGATATGGGTTAGGTTACATCTTGGAACAATCTTTGCTTTGTCATTCCAAATCAACTTGTTTCCTTTTCCACCACCAAGGAACAAACTCTTCAATGTTGTGATGTTGAATACCCAAGTTGGGATTTCTCCAGTTAGCTTGTTCTCTTGGAGAAGAAGGGTTTGTAAGTTGCTCAAGTTTTGGATCGATGATGGTATCAGACCCGTTAACTGGTTGTTGTGCAGGACAAGTGTGGTCATGTTGGGCAGGCTTCCTATGCCACTTGGAATTTTCATGGAGAATGAGTTACGAGATAAATCAAGTATTTCCAAGTCTTTCATGTTGGCAATCGAAGAAGGGATTCTACCAGAGAACTGATTGTCTCTTAGACGAAGAACTCGAAGAGAAGTCAAATTCCAAAATTCAGGTGGAAAGTTTCCCTCGAACCTATTTAAGCTCATGTCCAGGTAAAGTAAGTTCGTTAACCCAAAAAGTTGGTAGGGAATGGAGCCCTTAAACTCGTTTTCACTCATGTCAAGGTGGACCAGTTGGGTGAGATTTCCAAACCCATCTCCTAGGATCTCGCCTACAAACGAATTCCCCGAGATATCAAGTAGTTTCAATGATCGGATATGGAAAAGCGGAGTCAAGACATCAAAGAACACCGCGGTCGGATTGTCAAATGTATGTGTGATGTTGGATAGGTGGAGCTCGGTGACGGTTCTGGTTTTGCTGCAACTAACATGGTCCCAGGAGCAACAATCGGAATTGTGACTCCATGACGGAAGTGGATGAWGATTCATATCATAATTGAAATGGAGGAAATTGGTGAGGTTGGATTTGAAATTGAGAAGAGCTTGTTTGTGATGAAGAGGACAAGAGAATGATGGGATTAGAATGAAATTGAGCATGAACAAGACTAAGAGTGGTGTGTTTCGGGTGGTGGCCATGGTAGCTAAGGATTTGTAAATGGAGAGTAGTGTAATGTCTTTGTTGAAAGATGGATGTGCAATTTATAAAGATAAATGATTTGTGATGGTGTACCATTTGCATGTCAAATCAATGGGTATGAGTTTGAACAAGGTTTTGCTTTATGTTAATAATTTCTTTGAATAAATAAAATATGCAACAATTGAAAAAATTGATACAGGTAAAGTTGGTTGATACATGGTATAAAATTATAAATATCAATTATAATTGGTTGATATATGATACAAAAGAAAAAACGTGGTACATATTAGGCTGAAGGGCCGTTAACCAAACATTCTTCGGGTAAGCGCTTAGAAACAAAAGCCAGCAACTTCACTTACCTTGTTGTCTAACATTTCGGTCATCAAAATAGATTATTGGTAAACGCGGTAAGCGCATACCAAGTAAAAGTCTTGTCTCTCACTTATCGGGTAAGACTTTTGGTTCTTGTTATACGTCTTATCGAATAACATTACAAAACAAATTACTTTTACTCACAAAAATCATCTAGAGAAATTTTCGACAGTGATTACCAACGGATTACTTAGAAAATACCAAAGGTTCCGATAGAATCCAATGTTTTTCCACAAATTACCAAGTAGAGCCTGAGAATATGTCACTGATTTGAGTTTCTCACCTTTATCCACCAACTTTTGTGACAGTTTTGTGATGAATCCCCTTTTAGTGACGAATTTCCCAGGGAAATCTCGGTAGGTAAAATCTTCCATTTAGTAGTACAAGAATTTCGGTCCTTTCCATCCTCAATCTGTAAAATAAGCGATATCAGTAAGCATTTACCGATGAGTGTTTAGTAAATGGTTCTTTATACTTCTTTTTATTTAAGGCAAAATGCGACAAAGCTTACTTTAGTTTATATATAAAAATCAAAATATTTAATAAAATAAATAGAAAAAAGACCAAAAACACTCACATAGCGGCTAAAACTCAACGGCAGAGGTAGAGACCAGTTCCATACGATGGCTAGACGGTAGTTTTTAAACCTTACGGGCGAAACTAAGGAAAATAAAAAAACCATAATAATATATGTATCACAAATAAGGTTCTATATTTTACTTTGATTTTATGTTCTAGATATTTCAAATATTTTAGAAATGTAGTGGTAACCTATTATGTGAGTATTCATGATGAATGTTGTGGCACACATTCATGATGGATAATATTCATCATGAATACTCACAATTTAGTTTGTTCATGCGTTCCTAAATAAATCTGTCCCTTCAAATATAGTATATGATTTATACATTTTGAAATTATTTTAGTACTTTTTAATACGATTTTAAGGAGTATGATAGTAAATTAAATATAGCCAATGATCGGGTTGGACCAGTCCCGATTCCAAGTGATCGGAGTGACTGCTCTGTCCCGATCAAAAATCATAGGATTGATCCTAGGCCTAACAACCGGTCTGATGGACTATATACGTTTACTTTTACCAGAAGTTGAATGTCCTGTTCAAGAATTGATTTGGATCCAATGATTTGGTTCTCCACATTCGAAAAAAGCACACAAATAAAAAGACATGGATGAAGGAGGCTTGCATGTGAATGTCGGAAATAACGATTTGTTTTAATAAATAAATAATTAAGGATGACCGTGTTTACTTTGACTCGTGGAAGATGGGTCATGTGGAAACCAAAATTAATTGAAAAGAAGACTTCTTAGCATGACTTTTGGAAAACAACATCACAAACTTTCTTCCTCTTGATTTCTTTTATATTAAAAGATTCAACTAGTCTTGGAAAAATTAATTGACGTAAATCGTGGATTAATGGTTTGAATATCAGCCGCATGCGAGATGGTAAAATTTAGTTGGACGGATTGAATAATATATCAAAATATGCAAAAAGAATACAATATATATATAAAATAGAGAAAAGTACATTTTAAAAAAAAAAAAAATTTTAATAGAACCAAGTGGTGGCCGAGAGGGGACGTCATTCATGGTGTGCTGGGTAAAATGAGCTATAATAGAGTAAATTACATTTGTGGTCCCTGTGGTTTAAATATAAAATAGAGAAAAGTACATTTTTGGTCCCTGTGGTTTGATAGAAGATAAAAAGTAAATTAAATGGCTAACACCTATTTAAAAAAAATGGTTTTTAAGAGTTTTTCTCAAATGTTTTATAATATAGTATAGATATTGAAAATATGGTTAGTGATGTGGGGGAACGAGCTATTGAAGGACCCGAACTTAGCAATAATTCGTATTTGTTTTACTTAAACTTCTCAATAATCACAAAATTGTCACCGTGCAACTTTAGACCATTAGATCATTAGCTTATAAAGTCGATCAATCTCCTGAAGAACTCTTTTAAAGAGTGATATGGAGGTTCCATATATTTTCACATGGATATTACATGAATGTTGATTTATGTTTACTTTAATATGTTTTGGATTAAACAGTTAATTTTAGTTTATAAATACTTCATCATTTAAATGAAAAACCAAAGAGAATGACATGACACCGATGATTTCAATATTCTAATTTTTTTAATCATCGTATTGGTTTTGGGTATCCAACATCAATATGGAGATGATAATTTAATATAGGGAAATAAATTCATATATGAATATAAAAACTAAACGGTTTGTGGCAACATTAAAAGTTGGGTCTTTTTGGCCGATTCATTCGCAAACAAAAAAACAAATTAAATTTTCTGAATTTATGTTAGGAACTTAGGGTCACATCGAATGAATGAATGCAAGAGGTAAGATAAATGTAGCCAAAATGTTTTAAAGCATATTATCATCACCGAGCAACGCAGACGATGCACAACGCTAGTAATTCAATAATTTAGAAGTTTGTTCAAATTTACTATCAAATTTGTTTAGCTAGAGCACATTTACAGAGAGTTTCACCTTAAGATTTGAAAAAACATGTTCGTTAAAAAAAAAAAAAACATATATAACCTTATAAACGATATAATATTTGTACAACAAATATGTTATCTTCGAATGACAAACTTAAATATATGATATGATTAACCACAAGGGTGGTGCCTGATTGGTTTGAGTTTGGCTCCAAATGTCAAAAGTATCAGGAGGTCACATGTTCAAATCCAAGGAGGTATAAAATCCCCTTGTGGCCACGGAGGTTCAAATGTGGTGACTCCGGACTATCTGCAAAGCAGGTGGTCGACCTGGGATTAGTCGGCTCACATAGCGGGTTGAATATCCAGGTTAATCAAAAAAAATATATGATATGATTGATATATATATATATATATATATATATATATATATATATAAATTGCATTGACAAACGATATTCTTTTTACATATTTTGATATATTATTCAATCTGTTCAACTAAACTTTACCATCTCGTATGCGGTTGATATTCAAACCATTAATCCACGATTTACGCCAATTAATTTTTCCAAGACTATTCGAATCTTTTAACGTAAAAGAAATCAAGAAGGAGAAAGTTTGTGATTTTTGTTTTCCCCGTCTTCTTGTCAATTATTTTTTGTTTCCACGTGACCCATCTTCCACGAGTCAATGTAAATGCGGTCATCCTTAACGTCTCGTTTAGTTTGAAGGAATGGAATGGATTTTGGAGGATTTGCATTTCAAATCCATTCCAATCTCATGTTTGGTTTGTTAGATTGTCTGCATTTGAAATCATATGATTTAATTGAAATCCTTCAAACATAGGATTTTGAAATCTTTAGGTCTCGTTTGGTTTGAATGAATGGAATTGATTTTGGGAGATTTGGATTTCAAATCCATTCCAATCCTCATATTTGGTTTGTTAGATTGTCCAGATTTAAAATCCTAAGATTTAATTGAAATCTTACGAACATAGGATTTTGAAATCCTTAGGGAATGTTTGGGATTTTACAGGATTTCGTAGGATTGTATGTAATAAGGTTCTAAAAATGTTAAAAACATATGTTTTATAATAATCGATTAATAGAATTGTAACTTAATTATTTTTATATTTTTTTATAAAGCATTTATAAATAATGGAATTCAATTTCATTCCAAATCATACAAACCAAACACACAGATGATTTTAAATCTATTCCAGTAAAAGTGTAATAATTATGTATGGGTTAAAATATTTCAGTAATTCAGACAACTTAATGCAATAAAAGGTAAGTTAAATGTTTTAATAAAATTATATATTAATTTATTCAGTAACAGACCATTTTTACATGGATTGTACTATGATAAAAAAAAAAAAACTTTTAGATATATATATTTATCACTGAAAATAAGTATAACCTATGTTAAAAAACAATAATATTTATATTAAGACGTTTTGTCATCTGATTTATCTTAAGAAATTTATGCTACGTTTACCATTTACATTTATGTAGGTTGGTGTGACCGTTTCGTTTCATTCGAATAATTATTAAAACCAATCGGTACGGTTTGGTTCGTAATTTTTAGTGCCTAACCATGTGTTTTAATAATTTATATATTTTATTTCTCATAAAATAATCATAATATTTGGTTATTTTATTATAACACTAGAAGGGTACTCGCGCAATACAACGAGATACATCTTGATTTTAATATTTTATTTTATTTTTTATCTCAGTTGATGTTGTAGTATGGTCTTATGTGATTTTGAAAAAACGTTGATGTTTTTATTTTTGAATAAAATATAAATTTGAATATATCATAAAAATTTGACAAAAATATATCGATATTAGTATCAAATTAACTATTTAAAATTCAAATTTTTTGTGTAATTTTTTAATTCAATTTTTTTTATTGTAATTTAATTTGGTTCAATAACGAAGTGATTTATATTTAGATTAATAATATAATTTTCTTATAAATATAATAATTAATTATTTTGTTAAAACTTGATATAATTATACTAATTATATTTTAGATTTTTTATATTTTAAAATGAGATGTTTATCCTCTATTTGATTATGTTTATCCGCATTTAGTGAGCTTCAATAAGTTGTACTTATACATAATTTACTTGTAATCTTGAATTTTAAGTAATATACATCAATATACAATACTTTATGCATAAAAATGGTTTTAAGAGTTTTTGTCAAATGTTTTATAATATAGTATAGATATTGAAAATATGGTTAGTGATGTGTTTTAATATAGTCATGTATGTTGTATTGTGACATTATTTGAAAGATATTCAATAATAATATTAGTTTAATTGATTAAAATAAGATAAGATTAAAGAAAAAAGGTTCATAACGTTCGTTACTTTCCTTGAGTCTTCTTGTGGAAGTCAAAATAAACGTATATAGTCCATCCTAGAGATGGCCAAACAGGTTTGGCAATGGATGGGACTGATTGCGATGGGTGAGAATGGGTCAAGGCCCAACTGTTTGGAACCATTTACAAGATTTCTGTAAATTCAAAGCCCGGCGTGTAAGTGGTTATGGAACCAAGACTGGGACCAATTATTTATAGGGACTGATTTTCAAGTTCTTTTCGGCACAATTTTGCATAGGGGCTCATTTTTTAAGTTTTTTTAATTATAATAAAATCTTTTAAAAAAATTCAAGATTTTTTTCAAGTAAATATAATAGTTAAAGTGTATTTTAATACTCATTAGAGAAATCATAATTATAAAAAAATGTATAACATTTTTGTGTAAAAATGATTTAAAAGGACTTTTTTTAAATAAATATAAAAAACAGGTCAGGTCCGACACTGAAATTGGGGCCCGTTACGAAGAACCATGACTAGGATCGGTTGCGGGCCTAGGATCAATCATATGATTTTTGATCAGGACCGACCAGTCACTCCAATCACTTGGAACCAGGACCGGTTTGGGACCGGTCCAACCCGATCATTGGTTATATTTAATTTACTATCATGCTCCTTAAATCGTATTAAAAAGTACTAAAATAATATCAAAATCTATAAATCAGATATTATATTTGAAGGGACAGATTCATTTAGGGACACATGAACAACCTATATTGTGAATATTCGTGATGAATACTATCCATCATGAATGTGTACCACAACATTCATTATGAATACTTACAAAATAGGTTACCACTATATTCCAAAAATATTTGAAATATTTAAAACATAAAACCAAAGGAAAATATAGAACCTTATTCCGTCTAGCCATCGTACTTTATAAAAATGTATGGAACTAGTCTCTACCTCTGCCGTTGAGTTTTAGCCGCTATGTGACGAGTGTTTTTGGTCTTTTTTCTATTTTTTTTATTAAATGTTTTGATTTTATGTATATAAACTAAAGTAAGTTTTGTCGCATTTTGCCTTAAATAAAATGATGTATAAAGGAGCATTTACTAAACACTCACCGGTGAATGCTTACCAATATCACTTATTTTACAGATTGAGCATGGAAAGGACCGAAATTCTTGTACTACTAAATGGAAGATTTTTACCTACCGAGATCTCCATGGGAAATTCGTCACTAAAAGAGGATTCATCACAAAATTGTCACAAAAGTTGGTGGGTAAATTGTTGGTGGATAAATGTGGGAAACTCAAATCAGTGACATATTCCCAGGCCCTACTTGGTAATTTGTGGAAAAATATTGGATTCTACCGGAACCTTTGGTATTTTCTAGGTAATCTGTTGGTAATCACTGACGAAAATTTCTCTAGATGATTTTTGTGGGTAAAAGTCATTTGTTTTGTAATGTTATTCGATAAGACGTATGACAAAAACCAAGAGTCTTACCCGATAAGTGAGAGACAAAACTTTTATCTGGTAAGCGCTTACGTGGTTTAAGATGCTTACAATAATCCATTTTGATGGTTGAAATGTTAGACAATAAGATAAGTGAAGTTGATGACTTTTGTTGGTAAGCGCTTACTTGATGAATGTTTGGTAAACGTAGGCATGAGAATGGGACGTGGACCTTAATCACCGTCCCCGATTACTTATCTTTATCCCGTCCCCGTCCCCATCCCCATCCCCGCTAGGGAATATAATCATAACTCCATCCCCAATGGGGAAATGGGGATTTTTTTCATGTTTATATAAGTTATTTCAAATTAAATATGTGAGAGACCATACATGTTTAAATCTCAAACATTTTCAATAAACCTAAAACAAAAAAAAAAACAAAAAAATTTAATTCAAAAAAAACCACAACATAATATAAGAACTAATAACCTAAAACAAAAAAAAAAATTAAATCCAAAAAAACTTAAAGTTACATGTACCAAAAAATATTGAGTAATATAAAACCATATCGAGTAATATACAAAACTTATCGAGTAATTGCATTTTGACTTAACATCCAAAATATTACATATTAACATCCAAAAAATAAAAAATTTAGATTATAAAACTAGTTAGGAAATAGGAAATAGAAAATTATGTACTAATGCTTTAGTTGAAATAAATAATATATATATATATAATATATATACATAAATATAATTTATTAATTAATATATATAACGGGTATGGGACGGGGAGTACCATACCCGCCCCTGTCCTTGTCCCCGTCCCCATCCCCGATTTAGGGCCCCAACCGGGGCGGGTGGACCGGGTTCCCCGACGGGTCGGGGCTCATTCTCATGCCTAGGTAAACGGCCCTTTAGTCTGGTATGTACCACATTTTTCTTTTGTATTATATATCAACCAATTATAATCGATATACATAATTTTATATCATGTATCAACCAACTTTACTTGTATCAATTTTTTCAATTGATACATATTTTATTTATTCAAAGAAATATCTGCTCTTGATATTAACATATAGTAAAACCTTGTTCAAACTGATACCCATTGATTTGACATGCAAATGGTACACCATCACAAATCATTTATCTTTATAAATTGCACATCCATCTTTCAACAAAGACATTACACTACTCTCCATTTACAAATCCCTATCACCATGGCCACCACCCTAAACACACCACTCTTAGTCTTGTTCATGCTCAATTTCATTCTAATCCCATCATTCTCTTGTCCTCTTCATCACAAACAAGCTCTTCTCAATTTCAAATCCAACCTCACCAATTTCCTCCATTTCAATTATGATATGAATCWTCATCCACTTCCGTCATGGAGTCACAATTCCGATTGTTGCTCCTGGGACCATGTTAGTTGCAGCAAAACCAGAACCGTCACCGAGCTCCACCTATCCAACATCACACATACATTGGACAATCCGACCGCGGTGTTCTTTCATGTCTTGACTCCGCTTTTCCATATCCGATCATTGAAACTACTTGATATCTCATGGAATTGGTTTGTAGGCGATATCCCAGGAGATGGGTTTGGAAATCTCACCCAACTGGTCCACCTTGACATGAGTAAAAACGAGTTTAAGGGATCCATTCCCTACCAACTTTTTGGGTTAACGAACTTATGTTACCTGGACATGAGCTTAAATAGGTTCGAGGGAAACTTTCCACCTGAATTTTGGAATTTGACTTCTCTTCGAGTTCTTCATCTAAGAGACAATGGGTTTAATGGTATTTTAAGCCCTGAAGTTGGTAAGCATCAAAATCTTGAAACGTTGCAACTTGATGGTAATTATCTTACCGGAAACATCCCAGAAGAGACTGGAAATCTGACGAAGTTAAGAGAGCTTTCCCTTCAACGTAATCAGTTCTCTGGTAGAATCCCTTGTTCGATTGCCAACATGAAAGACTTGGAAATACTTGATTTATCTAATAACTCATTCTCCATGCAAATTCCAAGTGGCATAGGGAGCCTGCCCAACATGACCACACTTGTCCTGCACAACAACCAGTTAACGGGTCCGATACCATCATCGATCCAAAACTTGAGCAACTTACGAACCCTTCTTCTCCAAGAGAACAAGCTAACTGGAGAAATCCCAACTTGGATATTCAACATCACAACATTGAAGAGTTTGTTCCTTGGTGGTGGAAAAGGAAACAAGTTGATTTGGAATGACAAAGCAAAGATTGTTCCAAGATGTAACCTAACCCATATCTCTATGCCTTCCTGTGAAATTTCTGGCCAAATTCCTGAATGGATTTCAACACAAAAGGTCTTGTATTATCTTGATTTAAGCATGAATCAATTGGAGGGAAGATTCCCATATTGGCTCACCGAAATGGACGTAGGACGCATCATCCTATCCAACAACAACCTCACTAGATCTATCCCACATCGCTTATTTGAATCTACAAGTTTATATTTTCTTACATTGTCCAAGAACAATTTTTCTGGGAAGTTGCCAGACAACATCGGCAACGCCACATTCATGAGTGTGCTTATGTTGTCAAGAAATAATTTTTCCGGACAAATTCCAATATCCATGTCCAACATGCACGAACTCATCATTCTTGACTTGTCTGGAAACAAATTTTCAGGYCACAATCYCCMTGTTTCTAGCAATAATCYTRRATTGTATTACTTAGACTTGTCATACAACGAGTTCTCTGGTAACATCCCAACCACTTTTCCTATAAATACCGTAGTTCTTTGTTTGGGTGGGAATAAGTTTTCTGGCAAGCTGCCTTGGAATYTTACTAAATTGGTYAATCTTSSACACCTCGATCTTCATGAYAATGATATTACAGGATATTTCGGAGATGCTCTTCCTGAAAGCCCAAATCTTGAAGTTCTAGTTCTTAGAAACAATTCCTTTGAAGGATCTATCCCAACAACAATCTCCAACTTCACTAATCTTCGAATCCTTGATCTCTCTGAGAACAAGCTAACAGGTAGTATACCACAGGAAATATCGAACCTCACAAGAATGATCGAAATTCCACAGCCAACATTCA